TCACACATTAATCACATCTCTCCTTTCATCTGACATAGACCCTTCCAGCTCAGGCTGACACATGTCTACTTTTTTGGTACAGGGATTGACCTTCTCCAGAACACCATTAGATCAAAAAAAAATGGCAACAAAATTGCCCATAATTAATAAACTGTATTAAAACAAAAATATGTTGATTGAAATAAGGACTAGATGTATTATCAATTATAATGCTTTACAATTTACATGTAATTTAAGACATAATCTGAAGAGTTGAATAATGTTAGATGATATAAATAAGCCTGAACTTTATAATTAAAAAAAATCATTAAATACCAGATTAATTTCAGGCTATAGTTTAGTTACTATTAATAATCAATAGAAAACAATTTGATCTAAGATAGCCAAGATGGGTCATAGATATGAAGTCATACCCAACTGGTGTGCAAAGTGACCTGTATGATTATCTCTCTTAAATTAATTGGTCTAGAAACAAAAATCAAATGGAGGTCGTATTAGCATAATTAGTAATGCATCTGCACATAAAGCTGAAGTTTCAGGCTAAAATTTTATTCTAGATTAATCTTTTCTTTTTAATAATCTAGAATATTAATTCTAGATTATTAAATTTAATTCAAAATTTTATATTATTATTAATATTAGTAAAGATGACAACATAACTACCTAACTTTAGACCAAATTGCTTTATATAGATTATTAATAGCAGCCAAGTTAATGATTTTTCTAATATTATATGGATTAAAAACTACACAATAATACATTTATTTTCTGAAATTTCTTACTATCTATTCTTCACTATCAGAAAAATTTTGTCAAAATGCTTTATTAATTTATAAATGTTGGTATGAGCATTCTGCTTTACATTTAATGATGTTTAATTATTCTAATCTCTTATAATCTCAATTAGTATCAAATTATATGAAACTTATTTGCTTTTACATTTCTGTTTTTGGAATTATTTTGTTTTTTATGCTCTGAGGTACTTATTAGAGATAAAAATGATTCTTTATTGCATGTATTCTTGAATTAATTAAACATTCAAATACATATTTTTTTAGAGAACTACAGTAGCTAAGAAAATAGTACTACTATAAATATATATATAAAAATATAAGGTGTGTTGCTGGTGATTGTGAAGATGGATATTAGAAAACATTTTATATCTTTTGTATTTTTATATTTTATTAAATATCATAAAATCAAATGAATAGTACTGCTACTAATAATAATTATTATTATTTGTTCTTCAAATATAATTCATTTATCACATAACTTTTTTTATTGTTAAACAGAATTAGATGAAATTCTGAAATAAATTGTAAACAAATAATTTTTAAAGACACATAATTGATGACAAACTGATCTTTTGTACATTTTCAACAATGCTTTTGATGTAAATGAAAAGCAAATGTTTATGGCCTTGTTGTGGGGCCAAAGTCAGGCTTCTCTAGAAGATTCTTTTTTCTTATTCATTTTTAGCTGAACTTTTGAAATTTAAAACAATTTTTAAAATTCAAAGTTCAGGAACAATGTCTATTTAACCAACCAAACCATCTGGTTTTTATCATTATGTCATTGTCCAATGTCATTAATATTGGAAATTTTAACAAATTTGACTCCACAATAATTTTGCACAAAATGGGTAGCCATGTGCGGGCTATCCACACAGTTATGCATACTGTCAACACTCTCCAAAAACTCATTTTGAGATGTTAGAGAATTCTTCCTATAGTCCTGATTTTGCCCTGTCAGACTATCACCTGTTTGGTCCCCTAAAAGAAATGCTACAGGGATGAAGATCCATATCTGACAACAATGTTAAGACAGCAATGCATTCATGGTTTACAGCTCAGCCAAAAACCTTTTATTAATGAAGGAATAGGAAAACTTGTGGACAGATGAACAAAATGTATTGAAAAGCAGGGCAATTATGTCGAAAAATGATATATTTGATTTGCTGACGATTGGTTACAATAAATTATACAGCCAAAGAGCAGATAATTTTTGACTTATCCTCATACAAGAGAATATAATAGGAGAAATGGAAATTCAAAGAAAAAATTAATAAATAGCAATTATGTTGAAGAAGCATTTGTTATTAAATAAATTTAATTTTATATTTATTTATTAAAGACTTTTTCATTAATTTTTATTATCATTATACAGAAGCCTCCATCATTTAAAAATAATAAATTAACAACTCCGAAAACTTCTTCAAACAATTCTATATCATGACTCAAGTATTTGAATCATGTTGCATTAACATTAAACATCAATATGAGCCACAAATTTGTCACAATATTGGTTAATTTTGGTTAAGTTTTAAAAGTCCCAAACTTTTAAAACTTAGCCAAAATTACTTTAAAAAGTTATTAACTTTTAACAATAATTTTTACTTTTTTATGCTTCTGTCAATGGACTGAGTAAGTAAATATTATCCAAGTAAGTCCTATTGTAATAAATGTAAATATAAAATCTGAGAAGCATCCACTATTGCTTCTAACACCACAGTATTTTTGTCGGAAAACAGAAACTTTCAAAAATTTTTCCCACACATTTCTGAATTCACACAAGCATCCCATCTAGAAATGAATGTGAGAAACAATGAAAGAAGGGAAACAAGAGAAACAGAGAGGTCCAGAATGACACAAACTCAACAACGAAATTATACTATAGCAAACTATGCTTATTGGCAAAAATAAATTTTTCTATGATTATACAAAATAAAACGAATTCTAATTTACATAAAAACACCTGACAATAAAATGGCATACTTATACTTATACACTCTCATCGAATTTCTACTTCAAAGCTATCTTAACAACTAAATTTTACTGCTTGTGAGAGAGAGTTTACATTGAGACGTGCATGGATAAATACCTTAAATGTTAAATAATGTCTTCAATGGCAACTATTTCTCTTGAATTATGTCATTAATGAGAGCAATTATTCCTAACTTCAAAGTTTGTGTTTATTCTTCTCCTCCTGGGTGGCAGTTACTGGGGTGAAGGGCAACTTCTGTATCAGCTGGAATGATTGAAGAGCAAGGGACTGGACTGAAACTAGTCAGTGGAATTAGACTAAAGGATGACCACAAAACTGGACACTGTAAATAGAAGAGATCATGTGTCTTCTCCTTCAGAAATAGTTGATGAACTAAACAAAAGGATTGTTACTCTCTCTTGAAGTAACTGAACCGGACAACAACTTCAAACCAGATGTCTTTTGTGATCTTTTAAAAATCCTTTTAAAAATTTTAGCTTGTTCTGAGTCAGAACACTTCCAAAATTGGTAATATCGGATGGAGGGAGATTGTTAAATTAATTAACAACCAATCTGAAATTTCTTTCTTTTGATTCCCAGGGTGAGTAACTATCTCAGGAAAGAGTGTTGTCAGTAAGGAAATGTTATCTTTGTCAACATCTTGTTATTTCTTTGTCTCTTTTCTAAAATCTTTTCTCCTTTTGTTACTTTCAGGTTAAAAATACTTTGGATCATTCAGTCCCTGTTAGTAGTCAAGTTTGTATAAATTGAAGCCCAGGATCTCATGTAAACAAAGTTTTATCCACTTTAAGATTGCAATATCAATCCACTTTACAGTAAAAAACAAAAGTTTGAAAGTAAGAGTTTTCAATGTAAATTTACTTTAATGTTATAAAAAATTAAATGTTATTCAAACAGTACAAGAACTTTACAAGAACCGCTCAAAATATCCTTCTCAGATGTAATGCATATTTGATTTTTTGGAAGTCTATATCTTGAAAACCAAGTGGATTTTGAAAAACATTTATAGAGGATTTTAAGCTTATTTTTGACCCTAGAATCTATCCCTAAAATATTAAAATAGAGTTCAATTACACCCTGTATAAATCAATTTCAAAATAGAAAGTTTACATAATTCATATGGCAGAAGATGCATTAAAATTTTAATGGTTTTATATGAAATTATGTCATCTACTGATTAAGATTTAAAATAATATTTACAAACTAATGCAGATTTCAACATTACAGATATAAACTCCTCCTAGTATGTAATAAAATTATGGGCTAACATTCATTTGCCCAATTTTATTATATACTAGTTCTACTTCTAACTGCCTTTGGTGGTCGAACCTGTGTTTCATGTTACTTTGTGATATTCTCTAAATTGGTGTAAGTCCAAATGCTGCAGTGATCAACAGGCTAAACATATCTCAACCTGAAGTATATTTTCCACATACTTTTGTAATTTATAGAAATACTTCATGTATTATTTGCAGTTATTTTCTAATTAATGGAAATTTTAATTAAAAGTAATCAATAATAAGGCAAAATAAAACACTTTACTTTAAAATAATGACCAAATAAATAAAACATTTTTCAAAAATAGGCAATTGGTGTTTAAAATGTTGCTATTTTTTTTAATAGATCCAGCATTTACTTTGACATTTCATAAAATATAAAACAATTGATGTTTAGACATTTTTCCAGTAATATTGTGGAGGTTCTCTTTCTATTAGACTATTTAATTTTTCAGTAAGAGATCTGCTTCCATTTAAAAATGTCATGTCAGTGAATGATTAAATGAGTGAGTCAGTGAAGCCAATTTAATTTTACCATAGCAAATAAGAGCATGTTCTTATATTGAAAATTGCTTATTTTTGCATTTTTGAAACACATGTCCTGTTTTGCATGTAAGAGAATGCTCTTGTACGTGCCAACTTGTTTTGCTAATAAGAGAACTGCACTAATGAGTAAATGTAAATTAAATGTAAATGTATTGATAGAGTAACTATTCAATGGCATCTCTTTGGGTAACTATTATTAAAAATAAAAAACACTTCTGAAACTATAAAAGTATTCTTAAAATAGCAAATGTTTTTAGATACTTTGTAGAATATGATGCCATTTTGCCTATCTTTAAGAGCATGCTCTTATTCAGTACAGAAATATGCTGTGCATGAGTGTGTAAAACATATTAAATCCGTGTAAATATTAAATAAATTTTAAATTTAACTTACAGTGCCAGGAATACACATAGTATCAGTGAACCCCAAAGATCCCCTAAAACAACATAAATATTAAAATATCATAAAATACTTATATTTTTTTAAAATTAAAACTGAAATATATTTACTTACAATCTTGTAATAAAGCTTTCTTCTGTTTAGGATAAAGAACATGAAAAAATTTCAAACCAACTGCTTTCAGATCTCTTTTCTAAAATAAAAATAAAATAATCGCTTTGACTTCAATGTAATTATAACTATACATTACCAGTAAATTATTTAAAGTTTATAAAATATTAATGTTTTTGATAAACATTAAATTTTATTTCAGATTGTAATGTCATTTTACTACATTTTATTTCAATAAAATGTAATAAAATAATATTTCGAAATAATAAAGCCGTAATATTTTAATTTTTAATAAAATCAACTCAAGCCATGTATTAAGTATCCATTCACATTCAGAAATTTAATAATAAAAATAAATGTAGTGCACTCTTCCTAATCTGATTAAACTAGCTGTATTCAGCAAAGTATATGTTGAAAAAAATCCAACAACGAGTTGCTTAACTTTCCTGGCAACATTTAAAACTGCATGTGTGGCACCATCTGTTATGATATTTTATTATTAAAAACTTTTTATATTTATAATTATTATAAAATAGCAAAAAGCTTAATTTAGGAGGGTAGGGATGGGTTTTATAAAAAATTGTAAATGTTAATAATTAGTAAAATCATAATTAAGTCTAATCCTACTTGAGATAAGACACATGACCCCCTTTATCTCCTACCCCTTCAATCTTTAAACACCAAAATTTAACAGCATCAATCCCCTAACACACAAACCTGCCTGCAAAACTTCACAAATTTTTGACAAAAAAACATAGGAATTATTAAGCTTCAAAGAGGGTGAAAAAAAATTGTGTCTTCCACACACATACAAACATAATCCTCAATGTTTTTGCATTTATCGATGTTTCAAGGTCCCAAGTCCAAAAATGTAAAACTCTTGGGAGGTCACTCTTTCACCATTCACCATACTTTCCCTCTGTTATATATAACAGAGCCAGAAAAGTAAAAATTGGTGTCAAGTTACAAATAAATAGAGGAATAAAGAGGCAAATAAATAGAGGAATAAAGAGGCAAATAAATTTATTTATAAATAAATTTATTTGCCTCTTTTATAAATATAAAATTTCTTGGTTTACAACATTAGTACTATAACGAATTAAAAATAGATTTTGCTTAGCTTGTTCTGTATAGATAGACAATAGATTTAATTATGTCCCTGATTAATTCTAACAAAGACTAATTTCTGTATATCCCCTCATCACAAGGACTTCATTTCTCTAAAAAGGTTTAAATAAGCATATCAATACTTTCACAGTTGATTTGCATGCAAAAATAAATTCCTAAGTCAATGACATTTAATTGAACATAATGTTTTGTTTCTTCTTTGTCTACCTACCTGTAAAAGTTCTTCCTTGCTTATACACCATTTTATTCAAAGAAAAGTATGTCAGTATGTCTGATCAAAATTTAATTTACAATAGACTTTCTGTTAACATAAAATTTAAAAATAATCAGAAATGCATGAAAAAATGACAACTTGAAAAATTCTTCTCAGAATTATTTTTATACTGAATGGGGAAAACTCAATATCTGGAATGGCAAGAAAGAGCACCACTATAGGAAGAGTAAAACTGCACATGTTTTCACTTCTAATAATTTTAAATGAAATGAAACAGTAAAATAACAATAGAGCTTTTGGTGTTCAGTCACCAAATGAGAATGATTTGATGCTAATGAGAGAAAGTCCAGTCGGATTTTTATATTTTTTTTATTTGCACGTATATACAACAATGTACAATGTTTTTACAGCTCAACATCGATCAAAGGTCGTTTGTTTCTGTTTGTGTTGGTTGATTGTTCAAATGTCCGTTCTCGGTAGTTGTTGGTCCGAAAGTGAGTGTCCAGTTCAAAGATCGCTTTTTTCTTCTTTCCCGCGCCCTGTAACGGTCCAAATCAGCACATTGCAGATGGGCACCACAAGCTTATTTACGTTATTTTATACACTATTTAATGCGCTTAAATAAATAAGCTTATTTAATAAAACACATTAAATAAGCTTATTTAATGTATAAAACACATATGTACTTCATATGCAAGTATTTTAATGAACTGGAAATAGATTTTGCCTTAGTGTATTCCATATATATAGATTACTAGCAGATAAACCCAGCATTTCTTGGGCAAAAATAACAACACTAAGATTAATAGATTCTTTCATATTTCTAACCCTTCTATTATATTATATTATAGTATTTGATTTATATAACTACGAATGTTATCTTATGTAAAGGATTAAAACACCAAGTGCTTAATGTCATGCATTTTAAAAATTCTTTAAATTGTGTACATTATAGGAATAAAGAATTTTGAAAATGTGTTAGGTAAGGGTTTATCATACCAAGTGAACAATCTAAGATAACCTTTGTAGTTATATAAATCAAATACTATAATATAATAAATATTAAAATGAAAACCATAACACAAGTTTGGTTTTTTAGCCTACCATTGTCACGTTTATCATGATACTTGAACGGTATGAGATGGCATAATTTTAGTGGTCAAGCAGACATCAGTTGAAAATGTGGTATCTTAAAATTTTTCTCTACTGCATTCACAGCCAAATATCAAACAGTCATCTGACAATGAATCAAATTTTGCAAAAAACAGACTAAATATTTAAACTCGACACCCTTGAAAACCACTTAAATCATATTTTGTGCTGATCTGTAACCTTGTATTATGTAATTTTCCTATTCGAATACCATCATACCACTTGTCTGATGGAAGAAACTGTTGTGGTAGGGAGTCAAAGTAATTTGACCAAAAGTAGTAGTAGTCCTCCTCCTGGTACAGAAGATGCTCAACAACTACTAATTAATATCAGGCCACTATTAATATTTGAGAAGTAGTCCATGTTAGACAGGTTGTGATGGTTGTGATCAAAGTTGCTAACCTTAACGTCCAAAATACTTCATATAAAACTTGTTTAAATAAAAAAATGTTTGTAAAAATGCAAGAATAATTGCTTTTATGTGAAACCCATAAAAACAAAACTGGTGAAACTAGGTTGTAAAAATAAAACTCAGCAAAAGATCTTAGGAAAGTTTTGAAACTTGTGGCATAAGAATAGTGGATGCAAATTTGACAGTAAAACTCAACATGTGCATAAGCGCACATTACACAGACTATAACTATAGGAAATTTTGAATGAAGCAATGTTGCCACAATAATAAATAAGAAAAATAAATATCTGCACAGAAAAAGACTTTGAGCTGTACTTTGTGCCTTAAAATTGTTGCACATACAGCATATAAAGATGTTCTACATCTTTTAGCAGTATCTGTAAGAAGTTTGAGGCAATGGGTTTATGAGTTAGTAAGGGGATATGAAATCAGAGGAGAGGCAAGGTGTCCAGATTTCATGATAGTTAAGTACATCCTCATAAATATCATGTTTATAGAAAAATTATTAGAATTGGTTTGATTTATTTGGTTATGGCAACACAACATGTGAGCAATCTGCCAAGGTGAATGCATCCCAGGAAGACTTTTTTGTAAAGATGGCCCTTATTTAGGTGTTACTAACATGAAGAAAACCCAGAAAACTCCACATGGCTAGTCCATTGGTGATGAATGAACCCATGACTAACTATTGGTGTTCAGTGGTTTGTAGACCTCGTTATTGGAGGGTATGTATTGGGCTGCATTTTGTTCAGCTGCAATTAAAAAAAATGTAGACCAATAAATTCTCATTGTTGTCTGTCTGTTTATCTGTCCTTTCTTAATCTCAAGAGCAAAGTTAGATGAATGTCAAGACCACATATGGAAAACTTAAGAGCAGGAGGCCTAGCTTAAATATATATGAACTTCTGGTTTGCACCAGAAATAGGGAATTCGATCCCGGTCCTTATATCTAATCCCGGGATTTCGGGATTATACTTAGTCAATCCCGAGATCCCGGGATTATTTCGGTATTGAGGGTTAATAAAAAATAAGAAAATCTTACAGAAATCAACATATTTTACAGTATACACCTAGCTAATTTAATCATTCTAACTAATCAGACTCAGAGTCAGACTAACCAGACTTAAAATCACTCAGTCTTCATGTTAAATTTATTCTTTTTAAACATCACTGAGATCTCTTTAAACTCACATAAATTGAAAAAACCTTTATGTAACAAACTATGCAAATAAACGTTGAAAATTAACAAAAATCTCTCTTAACATCGACTAAATAGACTACTTTCATATAACAACCTAGTAAGTAGGTAGTAAAGTAAGTTTCTTAGCAAAAAGTATTTAAAAATAATATTAATCAGTCACATTTTTCTTAAATATAAAGAAAACTAATCTAATAGGAACATTCTAATTTGAATTGCGAAAATATGATCTGAGAAATAACAACGCATCCTGTGTCTCATCACCAAGTCTGCTTCTCAATTTGTTGCACATATATGCAGCTGCTGAGAAAACGCGTTTAGGTTTGATGGAAGTTGGAGGAATCGTTAGTAAATACTTATAAGCCCGTTCTAGTTATAGCTTCGAGGACACGGGGAGGTTGGAAGAAAACAGTCCGGTCGACACAGATCGGGATTGTAGGAGTAAAGGCTACAATCCCGATTGTTTCGATCATTGTAAGCATGCCTTTCTAAAAATAAACACGTTAATTTTGTAAATTCGGTCTCTGTGTGAGTCTCTCAGCATCCAGCAAACCACTACTCCCAAACGTAAAAAGACTTTCTCGCATCATCCTGACAGATCACGGGCAAGGCGGGGGTCGTAACCTTTTCACCTAAGGTCGACCCCCCTAAGCGAGAGGCGTCGGGTCTATATTAACCACACTGGCAAAACAAGATGGCTGACACATTGACAGGTAAAACGCACTGAGTAGTGCTCTCGACTGCGCCAGAAAATCGATTGGCGCCCGCGAAAATTCAAAAATACAAAAATGAAGTATATTACCAAGTAACCCAGTGAGAACTGCTTGCCTATCATTTTAGTTGAAAATACAAGAAGTTTTATTCCAAGCAAGCATCGCAAGCCCGCTAGGTTAATTTCTGCTGCTTGCTTGGAATAAAATTTCTTGTATTTTATATTAAAATGATAGGCAAGCAATTCTGTTAAAAGCACTGGCACTGAACGTTTCGCTTCATGCAATCTATTTTGCAACTTTTTTAAAATGATGTCAATCCCGAAAATCTCGGGATTAGGAAAACTTAATCCCGAAAATTTTGGGACTGAAAAGTGGTCGAGATCCCGGGATCAAATCCTCTAACCAGAAATCATGTTATTTCAATTCAAAACTTTTCCCTTGAATAGAGTTAGATACACAACCATATGACTATTGCTAAGAGGAAAAGTATGATATACAAGGTCAAAACACTACTACACTCCACACAGGCAAGTGCTATGTGCCATCTGTCGCAGTAATGATTTAGCACATCTACAGGTATACCTCGACTTACGTCGTTTTGAGTTACGTCGTTTTCGATTATACGTCATTTGTCAAAAAAGTATATGGAAAAATAAAAATTAAGTTTAAGTCATTTTATTCGACTTTACGTCTGCCACAAATATTGAAGTCGTAATATCACTAGAAAAATGTTTAAAGCACATAAAATCATATAATAATACAGGCATACCTCGACTTACGTCGGTTTCGAGTTACGTCGTTCCCGATTATACGTCGCTTGTTAAAAAAGTATATGGAAAAATAAAAATCAAGTTTAAGTCATTTTATTCGACTTTACGTCTGTCCGCCACAAATATTGAAGTCGTAATATCACTAGATAAACGTTTAAAGCACATAAAATCATATTAAAATATATACAAGTATGTACTGTATTTACAGTACACGCATTCGTAAATTTAGATTACTTTTTTTGTACTATATTAAAAACTAAAATTTATTTGTTTGTAAGCTTAAAATAGATTTTTATTAACCATATATTATTTAAAATGCTTTCCTAGTGATAAGTAGATTCGGAGAC